GCTCCCCACAGAGCTGCTGTTATTGGATAGGCATGTTAAAATCAGACATTCTCCCAGTTTCTGCTCTACCAACAGATGACAAATGATGGCCTGAGATCCTGGGGCTGAGCTGAGGAAAATCCCTGCCTCTTGCATTGAACCCAAAAGCACCTGGATTGGAGATTTTTGTGTCTAAACCCAAAGCTTCCTGAAAATGTTTTGCATTAGAATAAAGAAAAGGTAACTGTAATCAACGGGGAAAGGAAAGAGGGAGAGATGATGATACAATGGAAAGAGGAGGCGCAAGCTTCCTGCCGTCTCTCTGTGAAGGGCCTGTTACCTCATCTGTTATGCTGTCTTGCCTTCAGAAAGTCCAGCTCCAAATCATCTCTCAACTCTGGGAAACCCCACCAGGTTGTAAACAACAGCCTCAGCACCCCAGGTGTGGCTCTGCGCCTGAAGGCAAAGTCCTGGAACAAGCCCAGTGCTGGCTGGCTCTCCCAGCACATGCGAGGGCTAACACCTGCCTGAGGTGTTCCTTGCAAGCTTTCCCACTGCCATGGCTGGGCTCACAGCTGATGTCCTGAAGGACATGGTACCAGAGGAGCTGCGGGCTGGCTTTTCTGCTGGGTTGGGGTGAAATATCCATGCAAAGGCTTCCAGGAGGGATAGGGGGCTGCAAGGAGCGTTCATTGGATGGCAAGAGTGATGTCCTTTGTGAGGATGGGAGAGAGAGCCCTGGTGATTCAGAGGTGCACATCTATCCCAAAACACCAAACACCTGGCTCTGGGAACGGCAGTACTGACCCCCAGCAAGGAGTGAGGGGCAGTGGCTTGGCAGGGACCTGGCTGGGGCTGTGTTGTGGTTAATGGCCATGATGCACAAGTCAGGGAAGAGATCCTCCATACTCAGTGTTTGCATAGGACTCCCCTGGGAGGTGTCCCCAATGCCCTGGCTGGGTCCCTGTCAGCAGGGACACCCCAGGACAGCAGCTCCCATTTGCCCAGGGACGAGTATCTGTGCTGCAGGACCCTTGCTTGATCCTTGCCAGGCCCAAGGAAAAGTGGCTCTGTGCAAACATGGACACAGCAGAAGAAAACCTGGACCGAGCTTTGAAGTCGAACCTCAAACCCGAAATCCCACACCAGGTTTCATCCAATCTCTGCCCTCAGTGAAGGGCAGCAGCTCTTAAATGAGATGGCTGCAAACTGGGGTCGACAGAGCTTCTCAGTGCTGCCAGGGGTGGGGGGGTCCCTTTCCAACTACCTTGGTGCTGCAACAGCAGGGAGTGGTCTCTCCCAGCCCCATTCCCCCATCCGAAAGGGAGCATTACCCGTGGTGCAGTGCAGCATTGCTGGGCTTGATGGGGCTGCCTGTGCAAAGGGGTGGAGCTGGGTTGCACTCCTGTAGCACAGCACCTGCTGCATGCAGGGCAGGAGCATGTTTTGCACAAAAGAAGAACCCACTTCCTTTCGTCTGCATTGCAGAAAGAAAAATAAAACCAGGCAGACAGCACTGTTTTCCCTCCTCCTTATTCCCAAGTCCCTGTCACCTGGACCTTTGGGCTTCTCTGCTGTTTTCAAGGCTGGTGATGCCACATGGGGCATCTCCCTTCTCTGGCTCCCCATGACCCCACTCTGCACTTGCCTCCCTTTGAAGGACCTCACCCTCTGCTCAGGGGCTGAGCTCACCCCCCCAGGCGTCCCCTCTATCCAGCCCTGCTTTGACACAGTGATGCCTTCCTGCTGGGAAGTGCAGAGCCCCAGGGACAGGAGGGGTTGTACAAGGGGGTGTTTGACTGAACGGAGAAAGTCCCAAGTGTGAATTTGCATCACAAAATGCCCCATCCATCATTATCATTGCTGAGTGCTGGTGATGGCAACGAGCTGGAGTCATTGCAGCACCTGCCTGGAAGGTGATGGCATTTTGCCTGGCTTCATCGCGGATTCATTTCCTTGACAGGGTTAATCTCTAGTGATAAAAGTCTCACATGAGAGAGCATAATGAGAGTGGGCAGGAGCAAAGCATCCCAAAGCACAGGCAAAAAGTCAGCTCTTCCATCATCAGTGCCACAGTGACCCCTGACTTCAGGCTGATCAACACTTATTTCAGGCGCAGCTGTATTCCATGCAGTGCATTAGGTAGATGACACGAAAGTTCTGGATCCACTCGCCAGTGCAGGCTCAGGATTTCTGCAGGCATAACACTTCTCTAATGTTACATCCCTCAGGAATTCCCATCACCATGATGAAACAGCTCAATAACCTTTGAGCCCCACACAAGTTCGATTAACTTAACTCCTGACAGATGTGCATGCAGTAAATCCCCATCTTACTAAGGAGTATTACAAATCATGTATTCAGCGATTATTCTCTCATTAGCAAACTTCTTCCTTCATGGGATAAAAACCCTCCGAGCAACAAAAGCATCTCCAACAGATGGTTGTTAGCAAGTTTTCACTATTACTTTTGCTAGGTGCCTTCAACTTGTAATAATTCATGACAATATCAGTCACTGTGTAATTTCTATATGAATGACTCACAGTACATGAGCACACAGATTAGTATGGAGTTTAATGCCACTGTGTTGTAAAACATTATGAATATTATGCAATTAAAGAATTGATTGAGCTTTACTAGCTCAGAGGGAACTGTAAGTCTAGCTTAAATGGAGTCTTAACCTTGACACTTAGAATCATAGAATAGAATCATAAAATAGTTAGGGTTGGAAAGGACCTTAAGATCATCTAGTTCCAACCCCCCCCGCCATGGGCAGGGACATCTCACACTAAACCATGCCACCAAGGCTTTGTCCACTTCTTGGCCTCAGGATTTTTCAGTAGTTCCCTGAATGTCCCCTGATGGGAATTTCCTACTTTATTATGAGTTTTGGGGAGAGGAAAAAAAATGAAACAAGCAAGATGATCACCACCACCACCACCAAAAAACCCCTAAACCCACTAAAAAGTGCATAAAATCCTCTTGGGATTTAAAAGTCCCTGTGGTCTCTATTAAACAGCTACTACGGGGAAGGCCATTCTGGTGGCCACGAGGCAGGCTAAGCTTCTGCAAACATTTTGGGAAGTGCTGGGTGGGGGAATATTCTCTCTCTCCCATGGGAAAACGTACTGGTTGACTTGTACCAGTCTCCAGCAGCACCTGCATATAGGCCTGTGGGGTCAATCAGAGCTCTCCACTGCCCGGCACCCTGCAGGGACAGAGCAGTCTCTGTCCCCCTGAGAGCTCCAACTGAGACAAAAGGCTTTGCCCTACATTGAACGGACAACAGATCATCCTAATAATGAAAATATACAATGAGGGTGGTGAGGCACTAGCACACGTTGCCAGGACAAGTTATGGATGCCCCGTCCCTGGCTGTGTGAGGATGGGGCGTTAAGCAACCTGGCTAGTGGAAGGTGTCCCTGCCCATGGCAGAGGGGTTGGAACTGGATGATCTTTATGGTCCATTCCAACCCAAACCATTCTGTGATTCTGTATGTTCACTCAGGGCAAACTGTCTCATTCCACTCAGGTTAGCCTCAAGGAGCTGTGCCTGGTGGTCGCTGTGTGCGTGTATGAAAGGCAAATCTGGGTTTTGCCACAGCCTGGGGAGCCATGCCACGCACCAGCCACAGGCGCAATAGGCTCCATGGGAGATTCATCCTGACTTTTTTAGGTACCACAGTCTGATGGTGCTGCCCTGGCCATGTGTATGTGTGCAGGGTTGAACCCTCTGGATGGCACAAGAGCCAGAGTTGGGTTGTTTTCATTGTTCAGTCGCATTTTGCATCCTTGTAGAAATTTTCAGAGTGAAACCCAAAGTCAGCTCAGATGTCAGGAGCGACTGCTGTGCAGGTACAGTCATTTATCTTCTCCAGCTCAGTCACTACTGAGCATAACCCCCACTGCAGCAAAATGCCTCTTGCACACCGAAAAGAGAAACCTCAAACCCAGAAAGAACACACATTTTTACTAACGCAAAGAGAGAGAGAGAGAGAAAGAAAAAACAACAAAAAACCCCAGACCTCAGGGTGCTTTTATAATGTGAGCGAATCCCGAGAAGCGCTCACAACGCAGCCGGGTGCATGCAGGGAGGGGGGCGAAGCGGCTGCTCCCCCCACCCTGGCCTCAGCGCCGGCCGGTGAAAAGGAGGAGGAATAGAGAAGGAGGAATAGAGGAGAAGGAGGGGAAGAAGGAGGAGGCACCTCTGCTCACAGGTTAGAGCATCTCAGCCCCGCCGCCTGGGAACCGTCCCGTCTCGTCCCGTCCCGTCCCGTCCCGTCGCTGTTGAGCGCCAGCGGAGTGGAGCCCGGAGGCCGCCCCGTGGGTTGAGCGCAGGGCCGGGGGCCGCGGGAGGGAAGGCGAGGGATGGAGGTGCGGGGGGTCCCCGCTGCTGTCCCGGCCCGTTGTGGTGTGCGGAGCCGTGTCCCGCAGCAGGGCAAACTGCGGGAGGGTGTGCGGGACACACGGGTTCGGTGCTGGGTGTGTATATTCCCTCCTCCCCGCTTTGGATGGGATGGGAATTTTGGGGAAAGCCGGGATTTTTCCTCACTTTGAATTCCTTCAGGTGTGTTCCTGTTCTGGTCCCAACCCAGGGGTTGCAAAGGTGCTGATCTTTGCAAAGGGGAGCAGAAGCGATCACCTCTGCACCCCCAGACCCACCTCATCACCCCTTCCCCAACCCCCCCCCCCCCCCGCTTTCTGGGCATTTTCTCAGTAAAGCACCCCATTTCGATGAACAAATGACATTGCTGTCTCCAGGCAAGTTTGGGACCTTGTTTGTGTGACAGGGTATCTCCCCTCCTCCCTTTCTGGAATTGATTTGCAAAAAGAAGCCCCGAAATAAGAGGAGCTGGTGACAAGAACACAATGAGTCACAGCCTTTGTTGGGGCGCTCGCACCGAAATCACAAGAGGTGCATTTTTCCAAATGACTCGAGCTGTGTGCTGCTGGGGGGAGGCAGGGAGCAGGGGACTGGCTCTTTGCTTTGCAGCGAGGGCCAGCCCTACGGGTACCACTCCTGTTACCAATAAGCTGCAAGTTTCATCTCTGTTCTTACTCCAAGGGAGAGGGCAAGAGCTCACGAGGCACTGTGGAAATGGCTGTTGCGGAGGCTGTGTTCCCGCCTGCCAACCTCACCTCCAGCAACCAGAGCAGCTGCAACGTGCACAACCACCACTTCTCTGCCAAAGTCACCTTCTCCCTCTTCTACACTGCCCTGCTGGTGTTCGGTGCCTGCGGGAACATCCTGGCCCTCTGCATCACCTTCCAGAGCAGGAAGAAGAAACTCAACTCCACCGACCTCTACCTGGTGAACCTGGCCCTCTCCGATGCGCTCTTCACCCTGGCACTGCCGGGCAGGATTGCCTACTATGTCCTGGAGTTTGATTGGCCATTTGGGGACTGGTTCTGCCGGGTTACAGCCTTCATTTTCTACATGAACACTTATGTGGGCATCTACTTCATGACCTGCGTGAGCGTGGACCGCTACATCGCCGTGGTGCGCACCAAGCACCCCGGCAGGATCCGCAAGATGAGCCGTGCCAGGGGTGTCTGCATCCTCATCTGGTCCTTGGTGTTCCTGCAGACAGCACCGCTGCTCCTGCGGCCCATGACGCGGAGGATGGGGGACAAGTTGACGTGCATGGAGTACTTCAACTTTGAGGAGATTCCCAAGCTGCCTTACCTGCTCCTGGGAGCCTGTGTGATTGGATTTTTCCTGCCTGTGGGTATCATCTTGGTGTGCTATGTGAGGATCAACCTCAAACTCTGCCAGACAGCCAAGGAGAACCCTCTGACAGTGAAGAATGGGCACCACCACAGGGCCTTCACCATCATCCTGGTGGTGCTGCTGGCTGTCCTGCTCTGCTTCAGTCCCTATCACCTCAACATCATCCAGTTCATGGTCAGGAAGATCCTGTACCAGCCGTCCTGCCGTGAACAGCAAGCCTTCAAGATGTCCCTGCAAGTCACTGTGGCGTTCATGAACCTCAACTGCTGCATCGACCCCATCATCTACTTCTTCGCCTTCCGGGGCTACAAGCGCAGGCTGCTCCGCATCTTCAGGAACAGCGGCTCAATGACCTCCTCCTCCACTGCCAAGACCCCCTCTGACAGCAACAGCCACAGCCAGCAACCTGCCTCCATCTCTGTCTAGTGGCACAACTCATCCCTTCCGCTCTGGCCTGCAGCTTATGAACCATCCCCAAGGGCAGGAGCTGGAGTTGGGCTGCAAGGACCAGCACCTCCAACAAGGCTCCATCGCTCCCCTTCCTGAAGCCAGGGGCTCTCACAAAGCCAACCCTGCTGTGACACAGCCTTGCCTGGCTCCACATGGCTGGCTCTGTGCTCAGCACTGCTGGACCACCATCCTGGAGAACAGAGTTGGTCCATTTTCATTCATCCCCAGAGGAGGTAGCTGGTGCAATGGCAAACCCAGCTGGGGGTTTCTCAACTGCACCATGCCACCCTCCCTCTCCTGTCTGCATTCCCTGTGGGGCTGGTGGCTGCTGGTGACCACTATGGCTGTCCTGCCTCCCTGCCCTGGAGCACTGGGGCAGTGTCCCCACAGGCCTTGGGGCAGCTGGCATGGAGCACATGGACTCGGGGCATTTCAGGAAAAGGCTGGGATGTTACTTCCATGCAGAAAGTCGTCTGCAGCTCCTTACCCGCACTGAGAAACAGCAGCTCCGCTCCCCTCTAGCTCAGCATGCCCACTCTTGCACCCAGGTGCTGCATGGGGTGAGCAGTAAAAGCGACCAGAAAAGCCCTTCCTCAAGGGAGGGGGTGAGGATGTGAAGCTGCAGAGCTCCTGGGAGTGCTGCTGCCTGCATCCGCTGCTTGGGCGGCTGCTCCTTCCCCAGGGTGCCTTTCCTCACTGCTGACAGTGCTGTGGTTGCCCTGGGACCCATTGACAGGAAGGGGATGCCGGTGCTGGGACTGCAAACCCACTCTGGGGGCACTCGCTGGGGAATCCCTCCCACCCTTACTTGAAGGGAGTGGAGGAAAGGGGACAAGGAGTAGCCTTACCTGACCTTGACTGGCCTTTGCTTGAACCTGTTGCCCTGACAAGTCTGAGAGACTTGGTAAGGGCAACTTACATGTTGGGTTCCCGTCGAGTTATGAGCCCGTGCGATGAGGGGGAAGTCATCAGGAGCAGGGACTTCCTAGGCTCTTTTCTGAAGTCACAGGACTATGATAAAATAAACACATGCAGGATTCCACAGTTCCTGGGAATTCTGCTCTTCTGCTAAGGCTGGAAGGGACAGAAACCTGCATAGGGACATGAAGAGGAGCAAAGCCAGCAGCTTTATTCTGCTGAAAAGTAAACCTGAATGGACACTTTGATTGATACAAATAACTTTTTCAGTTAATAACCTTTCTTTATGCCTAGAAAGTCAGTAATAGTCATGTACAGCCCTTCCTCATTTTGAATGTGCAGAAGTGAGCTTTTGGATGATGGTGGTTTTACTTACGGTACGGTAAGTGTAGCATCCTGAAGGCTGAATAAGAGGGATGTCTAAAATAACTCAGGTGGGAAAGGGACTCTGACGGGTCCTTTCAGAAAGCTGTCTGAGCCCTCCTCAAAGCGGGCCTGACCCCAGTGCTGGCCTGCAGAGAGCCTGTGTCCTGAAAAACACAATGTATGAGGAAGAGTTAGTATGCAATAATCTATCAATGGGCTGAACACCTTACAGGAGCCTGGCTAAGCTGCTGGTTGCTGTACAGTTATGCTGCCCTATTAATTTGTCAAAGAAGTGTTGGCTGGAAGGGACCTCTGCTTCACATCATCCAACAGCCTACTCAAAGCCAAACCGGCTGGCACAGTGTCAGGCTGGCCATGGCTTCATGTAGCCAAGGCTTGGAACCTCCATGCAAGGCAGCTCCCCCCACCACCAAGGGGTGCTGCATTGCCCTCCGTATGGAAACGTTTTCCCACTGTCCAGTCTGAACCTTGCTACCCAGAGCTGGTGACTGTCACCCCTCAGATCACCCGCTTGTGCTGGGCAGAGCTCAGAACTCCAGTGTGGCTGGTGGGGGCTGACTGGAGAACAGTGGTACGTAGCTATCCGTCTCAGAGAGCCTCCACATGAACACCAGAGCACAGGTCCACAGTAGTGGCCAGCCCTCCTCAAGACCACAGTACAGACAGGTTTTGCCAGGCTGGAGCTCACAGCTGAGGCAAAGGCAAGTCTGTGAGGAAGCCTTCTCAGACACAGGTGGACTATAAACATAGCCTTGTTTGCTCCTTATTGGGCTCTGTTTTTCTCTCAGTAACAAAGGCATCCCCATGTTTCACCTTCCTGATGCCAGGAAGAACCTTTGGGAAAAGAAATAGGTGAAGAGCTGCGTGTAGTGCTGCGTGTGACAGGTGAATCCAGCCTCCATCCTCTGGACCGATGCCAGCCAGTGGCCCTTTGCTGCTGAAAGTACCCACCCGGGGACAGCAGGCAGCTAGCTGGAGCCAAGGGGACACCCAAGTGGTGGAGAGGAGGTGGACTTGGGTAGGATGGATCAGAAGGAGCATGGGCAGAGAACTGTCTACGGAAGGAATCCTGCGTCACACCAGCTCCCCCAACTGGGGGTGCTGCCCAGCTACTTGAAAACAGAAATGGAGGAGAAACCATACAGAGCATTTCATCTGGAGGCACAGTAACGCTTTCTCTACACTTCATTCATCTGCCTGATCTGAGCTCCTTGCATGATGCTGCTTCCTTTAACCAGCCGAGCAGCTACCACCCAGCACCTCGCGTGTTTCCTGCTCCTTGCTTTGTCCCACAGGTGAACCCTCTGAGAACCGTTGATCCCCATTTCACTACCAGCTCCACTTGGCTGCCCCTCCTGCTCCCTCTTCTGGCACTCTACGCTTGTGAAGCCCTCCCAGCTGCTGACACAGGTCGGGGGCACACACTACCATTGGCCTGAATGCAGCCTCCTTGGAGCTGCTGTGCAGAGAAGAGTGGGACAAAGCTGGAAGAGGGAGTTGAAACCCTTCCTTGAGGTCAAAAATACGCCTGGAAACCTAAATAAAGATATGCAGCTGGTGCTCCCCTCACATGTCCACTGTGTTGCAGGAACATGGTGCTTTTTGTAAGTAAGGTGGTTGTGAAATGCATGGCAAGCACACGCCAGCACATGGGGATGCTGGATAGCTCTCCGTATAGAGCTATAGCTGCACAGAATGCAGGTCTTTCTTGCTTCACCCTAGTCTGCAGACCATTGCCATGCTGTCTTCTGAGAAGGGAAAACTGAATTTTTATCTAAGGGCAGTGAGTGTGCTCACAAGACACTACCATACCTGTGTATATGGATTATACATATACACAGTGCAAACTGAGATTTCCTTTGCAAACTCATGCTGTGACCCCTGTAACTCAACTCTGCCCTTGTGAGCCAAGCCCCTCTAACACAATGTATTACACATACATATCGGTGTATTTCAGGTTTCTCCTGAACTGCTGCAAAAGGGCTCAGGCAACCGAATGGAGCAGAAAGGTGACAGAGCCTCTGCAGATAACCTGCCTGACAAGCTGCATCTTGATGGCAAATGAGCACCTCACGCTAGACCAGCATTGGTTTTTGCCTTAGCAGTGGTTCCCAACTTCTAGGAGGGCACTGGGGGACAACAGCTCCTGGTTGTAGTTACGCATTACCTGTCAGTAAACTCTCTGTGCTGTACAACACACCTCTTCAGTCTGTGCTTTAAATTGTGCTCAGTTGAAGCTACTGCACGTTGTGGCATCCACCTCTGTAAGCCAGTTAAAGAACGTCATGTAAAAATGCACGTATCTACCTAAAATAAAAGCTTCTGACCACAAAGTAACAAGCCACGGTGATTGTTTGGACCAGGAGATGTGGGCAACTTTTTTCTTTTCAGAGGTGCATGTGTGCCTTTATCCCTTGCAAGCAGAGCAAATGCTGAGAAGAGGACAAGCCTTGTGAAAGCACAAGCTCCTGATGCACCTCCTTTACACAGCACACTCGTGTCCCTGGGAAGGTGGTGTGCTCTTATGGCAAGGGGACTTACAAATAACCTTTGGTGGGAAGAGCAGTGGGACCCGCGAGGAGCTGTGTCCTTTCTGGAGCAGATGTCTCTGCCACTGGGATGGGGTGCCAGAAGAGGACTCGGGCAACAGAATGGAGTGCAGGCCTGTCCTTTGCAGCCCATCCTCTGCTTTGCTCCTTTTCTTGAATCTCTCTGGTTTTGCTTAGTCCAGCTCCCTCAAATCCCTTAAGTCCTCCCCTTTGCTAAACTTAAATGACATTTATGGTCCCTATTTATCTCCGGTCAGAAGACCAAGTCCTGCTTTCAGTTCAGCCATGATCTGGGAATTTTTCACCTGTTTCTGAAGTACGTATATTCCTGCTTTCTCCAAAGCTGCCATCCAGGTTTAGAGACAGTCTTGTACAAACACATGTGAGCCCAGCTAACTTCTCGTTTCCTCTGAAACTCTCCTCTGGAAAAAACTCAAATGACAAACAGCTACCAATTTGTTGAGGTTTTCACCAGTGGCACCCATTCATCAGGCTGTACTGTTCCTCTGCTCCCATCATCCGCTTCTTGTCCTCTGTTTGGACTGAAAACTATTGGTAGCACATACCCTCTTTGAGTTCAACTAGGAGTGGACTCCCTAAAGTCAAAGCACCCCTTTATATATACACAGACAAGAAATGTAACCCTACTGAAAATTAAACCAAACCAAGTATGTTTTAAGTCGGCATATATATGTATTATATGCATATATATGAATACATATAGTGTTTGTGTGTTTATGTGACTCTTGTAATGAAATAGTATCTATATTCATTTATATAAAACATTACTATGGCTACACTATTAAAGAATGATAATCTCATTTAGGTTATTCTCATGGAAGAACCCACACAAGACATTAATTACACTTACGTATCAAAATCTCTATTAGTTCAAATGAATACGGTGCATTTATTTAGCCAGAAAGAGATGCAGTTCCCCTACAACAGAGTTGTAGTTCTGAGTGTTTTCAAATCTGAGTGCCTTTGCAACTGCATACAGACTCCAAATACAGACTGTGTGAGATGGGTATCTTTTAACACAGACTTTTAATTTTCTTCAACAAACTCTTCGCTCCAGTTAATTTGACAAAAGCCATACATGAATATTCTCACTTACTCTCTGCATATATACATATGCATACACATATATGCATATACATATACACACACACACACAAAAAAAGGAGAGCCTGTTGCTCTTTGCCCAGTACCTTGCAGTACGTTTTGCTTGCTTGCTTGCTTGTTCTGTTTCATACAAAAACATCGAGACCTTTTTCTCCATCACATGTTCACAAAGGCAACGACAAGCTCTAGACAGCACAGGCTGGTACCTGAACCAACCCCGTCAACCTCTGTGCTCACTAGGTAGAAGGCAACCTTTGACACTTGGTTTGAGAGAGGAAAATGGTTTCGGTAGATACAGAGGCAACTAAGCAAAAAGTTAAGGCTTGAGAACCTGGTGGTTTATCAGGCAGATTCCACAACTACAGACCTCACTGTGGGTGTACTGTGAAATATCACACAACTGTCTAGGAAAGTCCCCAGTAAACTTCTCCCATGTCTCAGAAGACAACACTCCCAGTCTAGCAGAGAAATTTTAATAGTAGAAACTACTTTTATTTCAAAATACCAAATCCTGGCTTTACTAAAACCGGTGTGAATTTCCTAGGGACTGCAAATCCCCTCCATGAAAAGTATGCTGTATTCTCTGGGTGCCTAAAAAACCCCATGTCACACAAAATAGGAACTGTGCGATGAGATATTCAAAACGTACTGGACGAACCCTGTGTGGGATGTGAAGAACATGCTCTTCGTGTTCCCAGAAATGGTCAATGCGAGTTTCACCAGTGAGTGGAAACAGAGCTGTTTTCCAGCTCCAGTGTGTGAACCTTTCTTCTATGGCTCCTGCATGAAACAGGAACTGTGTTCAACAGCATGCGAGACCCCTCCTTTCACCACTTCTTTTTTTTCTTAATTGGAAATCACAACCCTGGAAGCATTTTGAGCACAAACTGCTGCCACAGATGTCAAGGGGAGTTTTCAACTGACATCACCAAGACCTGAATTTTACCCCTTACGTTTGACCGTGTTTTGTGAAATACCCAGCAAAATGGGGTTTTCCACACAACAGTGACATTTGAGTACCCCTTGTACAGGTAACAGTAAGAAAGGATTTAGACTTGGAGAATATCCACTTACATGTCTCAGGACGCCACTCAGCACATTTTTAAACTCCAAGGAATAAACACACTTTGTGCTTGTCACAGGGCAACATCTGAAGGGGCACAGGTCACATCTAATTTACCCTGGGCTAGGTGGACCTTTATTTCCTACAGGCAGAATTTGACTTCTACTAAAGTAATTCACTACTCTTTATTGCTACTTTGGATAAAATATTTGTGAAGGAAATAACCTTCAAAATTAAAACCTGTCTTTGTTTCAAAGCATTTAACTAGTCTGCATATACAAATTGTTGCAGGACTTTTTTAACTTACATTTGGCCTTTGCTTTGTAAGAGCAGGTTTTCACAGTTCTCTGGCTACAGAAATGTCCGTAGCCTACACACATACAGGGCCACTCAGCTTCATACAAACAAAACCTTTCAACTGAAATGCAGACCCTACTAAGCATAGCAGCAAGCCAAATCCTGAAGGAAGTTGGTCAAAACCCAGGAAAACACAGAGTCATTCCAAACCCCCCTTGTTTTACCCACTGGAAAATACTAAAAAATACATACAGCACACTGACCTTATTAGAAACGATGTCATGTGCCAAAAGCTGCACAAATTTTATGTCATTTCTGTATAAGGACTTGTATGCCTAAAGGGCTTTTTTCAGTTTTATCAGTCAATTAAAAGAGAAAAAGAAAGGTACCTCTCTCTCTCTCCCTAAATCTTGTCCTGTAGTTCCCTGGTATATTTTCCAGGCCAAGCAAGACTGCAGGTCTCTACTTTAATACACACGTGTTCACTTTGATTTCCAAAACATCCTTCTCTCTTCTGTATTCTTTTACCTTCTCCCCTTTGTGCCTGGTGTTGCCTTCTGTTATGCTTCTGATGACCTGCATCTTATTCTAAATGTTTGTATTAAATATGCCTATGTGTATATAAATAAACACATATATACACAATGTACAAACACAAGTACATACAGAAACATTAAATGCTTGAGATACATGTGTATACTGGTTTCACAGAGTCACAGTTTGGAATCTTGTATTACTTCAGCTTGGTTTTATGGAGATGTTCACCTCTCTCCACCCTGAAACTCCTGAGGTGCTAACACTGAGCATTTCTCAGAGTCAAGCCAAGCAAGCTTATTTATCACTCTAAAATTCTAAACCAATATTGTACTATCTTGGCATATCATCCTGTTACCTTCTGTGTAAGCCTGAATCACCCTTAAGGTTAATATTCCAGTCTGTGATCAACATCAAGTTGCTTCAACAGTGAGGATTTGGCAAATGCAGGGTCACTCGCATCTTTGACAGTAGAAAACTAGAACTATACATAGAAAAGTCAGCATTTTATCATTTTCTTTTAAGACAGTGTGTAGCCAGCTCAAAAAATGAAACCAGCACATAGGGACACAGCATACATCCATCGTAACCGAGTCTGTCTGAATTAGACATGGAAGACATTCAAATCATTTCAGTTCTGATCTTACTTTATCATTCAATTCATCTTTATTGCTTCCCATGAGTATCTTCTTCCTGACCTGTATATGAATAGCAATTCACTCAGTGTGTAAAAGTTTAAATTTACAGCAGTCACTTACCAGACTTGCAATATGCACATGAACTTTCTCTCTTCCTACCTGTTTATTACGTGCTGAATGACAACTTTTATTTGAAAAGGAATTAAAGAAATAAAATACTACAGGTATTAGTAAGACTTTCCAAAGAATGACATAATAGTCCCATAACCCTTTAAGGAGTTGAAATTGTAATAACCTTCAAACCTCTTATTACTGTAAAATAACATGTAAGCTAGACAAATTAGACTGGTAAATGAAGAAAACGTCATTTTCCTTGATAGGTAAATCTAGTTGTCGTGGTTTTTGGAGCTTCTTTTCCTAGTCATTAATCCTGATAACATGTCTAACAAGGATTTACACAAAAAAATAAAATTTAGGTGATATCCAGTCATAATTAGAAACTAAAGTTACTTGGAAAAGCACAACCAGACTAGAAACCACCGAGTGATGTGAAGGCTTGGGAACAGTTCACGTCATTCATTAGCACTGCTTTGAATCACCAGTCACGTGGAGCCAGTTTCTCTTCTCCAACGCTCGTGCGGGGACGACCTTCGCGAGTCTGTCCAGCAGGTGGCTTTGATCCTCTTCCAGATGTGTACAAACCCTTCGAGGGAAGTTCCTTCACACGAAAAACCATCAGTGCTGCAGCAGAAAATTAGTGGCTACATTTAAGTCATTATTTGAAGCCCTCAGAGCTTCTAGAGCATCTCCCCTCGAAAACCCCATTTCCATAAGTCGTGCAACCTGGAAAAGAAGTAACATAAGACCACTTTAAAACCAGTTTGATTCACAATGTGTGTGCACTAGTCATGTTAACAGTATCAGAGATTGCTTTTCCATTGATAGGGCTGCTGAGCCTCTCCAGAGAATAAGCAAACACAGCTATGCAGTCACAAAGATGCATCTGGGACAGCACACTTGAGAACACTGCCACAGAGATGACTGCTTTCTGATACGCCATTCAAAACCAACCGTTTGCTGAAAATGCCACACCTGTATTTTCCTAGCTGGTCCAGTTTTGTAAGAAGAGTAAAACAAAGTATGGCACTGCACATCCCAGCTACAATCTGACCTTGGGGCTTGCTGCTCTTGGCAAGAACAGGACCTCAAGAATCCAATAGTATCTAAAATATGGAGTTCTATAGCAGATGCGGAAACCTGTCCAGACATCCTTAGCTCTGCTTTCCTTCAAAATACCTACTTCTTCAGAGGCCATTAAAGAACACAAAACTGTTCATTCAAGGTGGTTTCTAAAATAAACCTAAAAGCCCTAAAAGAGAGGCAGTAGAATACTTAAATAGGTTCAGTTAAATTCTTGGAAGGATTCTATGTATTCTCAAAACAGTGTAAGTCAATGACACTTGACGGAAGGATTATCTGGAAAAGGGCACATTAAGACAGTGATTTTGGTAATCAGCAACCATGTGTCCATCCTTCTTTATAATACGGTGTACCTGACACCTCAGCTTTTTGCCCTGTGCTAACAGATATTCAAACTGCCACATGTAAAAAGCAATGTATGCATAACCAAATTTAATTTATGGTTAAACTCCAATCTAAAGTAAACTTAAAAAGTGCAGCTCTCTCGGTGTGCAATGTGAGCTAGTACTGAAAATAATTTAAATGCCTTTTAAAATAAAGGTGCCCTGAAAAGCAACCTCCCCTTCCTGTAGTACACCCCCAGAACTTTCAAAATCTTCCCTGCTTTGGTGGTTTACTGAGAAATATGCTACTGCCAAGTATGCCTGGAGGTGGGGGCCCTCCTCTTCTTAACCTAAATACGCCATTACAAAACGTTTGAAAACTGCTATCTTGGTTGTCAGAATATCAAGTATCGTCCTGATCATTTTTCTGCCTTTTCCCCTTTTCCCCCCTTACAACCCAATGTCAGTTTCTCACTTTCTGGTAGAGAGAGAAATGAATTGTTACTTTCAGTACCTCTGCAACCAGTTTAACTTCAAACTGGATTTCATAACCTGTAACTAGTTTCTAAAGTCTCCTCTCTCCGATTTTTCATCTAAGATTGGGTTTTTTATGAGAAAAAGGGCAGGCAGTGGAAGAAAAGCTAACCACAGAAATACATTTCAGAAGAAAGGTTGTTTTACAGCAGTTACCATGAATTCTAACCTCAAGAAGCTGTGGATGGAGTTGCAATGGTCCCATTTACAGAAACGTCCAGCCAGTATCAGGGAGAACAGATTGTAACAACAAAAAGCTCTTTTCATCTGAGTCTATTTTAACCACAGGAACTGAATCGACTCAAGGGAACAGGTACTGGTAACAGTAATTTAAGGTGCTAAAAAAACCCACAAGAAATGCAGAGATTTTTGTATGCATAAGCATTGCAAATACTTGTAAATTTTAATCTGAAGAACAGAAGAAAACCTTGTATTTATGCCACTGTAAGACACCTTGTGCAGTTCTAAGGACAGTCCTGAGAAATCAAAGGTGCATATATTACTTTTTTTCTCTGCAGGGTAACTGACAGCATTGCAAATGACAGCAATAAGGTGAGATTTACAACTTCAATGCATGAGAAAATAGAAGTGTATAGTGCTTTCACAAATCTGGACATAAATGCTTTGGGTGAGAATCCAGCATAAATCACACTAATAACTATTCCATTAGTTCCAGCCCAACAACAAAAGTTCCCATAATCAGATTTTGCAATAAAACAAATAAACAAACCAAGGAGGGAGGGAGATCTTCTGGTCCACTCCATACCTGGCACTAAGTACGCTTTCAGCCCAGCCAAAACTAAGTTTCTGGGTTTTGTTTCAGGCACTCTTTAGTGTGAGGGTTTTATTTTCCTCTTTCCTTTTTTATTTCTGATATTTTTCTTTCCCCATTTTGGATGGGTGCCGACATCTTTGCAGTTTTGAACATTTTGAACATAATCTAACATTGAATTGAAACTAGAAATCAGATCATAGCAAAGATTTCTGTTTGGGACAAGCTCATTTTAAAGTAACTACAAATGACAGCATGGTGCTATCAAGTGTTGACTCATCTCCTAAAAAAAAAAAAAGGGTTATGGGGAAAGAAAAATGTGCCCTTGAAAACTACTCTTGCTCAAGGGTAGCACAGACCTTAGACTATAAAATGGCCAATGCAGCTAACTGCAGATAGGCTACAACCTGGAGAACTTGAGTGCATGCAATAAATCCTGAATACAGAAATAAGACTAATCTTAAATTCTTTAATTTCCCAGTAAATCATCCTCTCTTTTGAGAATAAAACTATCTACAGAAGTCTAGAAGTCTAAATCTATACAGTAAGTCTAAAAGTCTATACTTGATAGAAAAGACACAGACTTCTCTGTGGCATCAGTACGTAAAGTCACTGAACCACATTTCTGAGGGAAACATCCAAATTTTAGACCAAGTGTGCACTGCAGTCCATAGCTAGCATAAAATTCCTATTTCCAAAAAATGGAACTTCAATATGAACGAATTGGAAACCTAAGCTGGAGACCTGAGTGAAGGAAGTGTCTACAAGACAAATAATGACATCTATTTGCCATTCCTCCTTCTTTGAAACATTTCTTTTTAATCAGATTTGAACAGACAACACTGGTGAAACTGTCTTATCTTTAAATACAAAACCCAAGCAGTTACACATAAACGCAGAAACTCCCAAGCTGATCTGTAACTCTGATTTGGATAGTAATGGCAATTTGCTGCCTCTGTATTGTGACTGCTATCTGATACTCTAATTTGTGCTGCTATACAGAACATTCAAGCAACTGCCTCGATAGATAATAAAAAGTCAGTAGAGACAACTCCTAACCAGGTTTTCAATGACATTTTATAATAGAAAAGCATTTACCTGCTCTTCAGAAACCTCAGTAGGTGGAGGCGTATCTTGTTCAGACGGGCGATGATCTTGATAATTTGCATTATGTCTATGTCGCAAAGGAGGAAACAGTCTATTCCAGTTAATCATCCCACCCTGAAACCAGACACTGGTGTCAGTCTTTGCAAAAAGAACTACAGGTATTTTAAAACAAAAGATCATCTATCCCATATAATACAAAAGGCAAAGGTTTGAGTAAATACTTTATTTTAAACAACAAACACTGCTGCAGCCTTTTATGAAGTTAAAATTGGGAGTGGTTACTGCTTTACTAGTTATTAGTAGTAATCACTGTAAATTAACAGGAGGAGGAAAGGCTGTTTCACACCAACTGTTAAAGATTTGCTTTACTACAGCGCTAGCCTTCTGAAGCTAAAGGACCACTCTCTTTTCTGACAGGGATTTGCTTGGCAAGATATTCAACAGCGGGTCCTGCCAGTGCTCTGCAAGACTGTTGATGGAGCTAACTGGAGGAAAAGAGTGCAAGAAACAAGTGGTGGGAAAAAGCAAAAATGGATTCTCAGTGCATCAGCAAAACCACATCAGGAAACTCAGAACAATCCCACCCTTCAGGATATCTTGTGATCTCCGTGCAAGTGATTACTCCTGTGACACCAACACTACTGTTTCAGACATACAGGCCACTTCACCTAACTTCTGTGTATTAAATACCATTGCAAAATCTGGCTGTATTCCAGTGCCAAAACATTTTGTAACTACACAGCAATAATACAAATACATAGGAGTAATGGATGCACAGTGTAAATCACAGAACTGAAACCTTCTTTTAACAACCAAGCTTCAAGTCTTGTAATAATGTTTCAAATATAAAGTACAAATACTAAAGTACAAGCTTTATAACTGTCCCAAAATAATTAATCCTCATTTTATTAGCTTAAATAATTTTTTTTAATGGGACTTCGTATCACACTGAAACCACAGGGAAGAGCAAACCCCAAATCTCTCTTTTCTGTACAATTTGTTAACACATCTTTTGCAGTTTGGGTTGTCCCTTTTCCCCCTCCCCTGCTCTGGCTGTTACTATGGAGAAGATCCCCCTCCCTTTCTGTATATATAGGACATGGACTTCCTTCCTTTAGTTGCTCTATTTTGGTTCTATAATGTTGTTTCTCAGAAGACCTTCCTCTTAAGAGAGTTTTTTCTTTTCTTCTCTCAGCAAGGGCTCTTCCTGCCTTTATGTACCCCCGGAGCATTACATGCTCTGTTCAATCACATCACCAGCAGCTAAACCTGTTCCTAGACCACAAAAAAAAAAAAAAAGGAAAAAAAAAAGAGGCATTTATTTAGTGTTCCTGCCCTTTCCTTTGTTTTCTTCCTTTGTCACTAGAGGAGATCCAACCAACCCAGACACCACAGGGGGCACTGCAACAGCACTCTTAAAAGTATACGGGGAGTCACGAGATTTGAAACTAGCTTCTGAAGCATTCCAGCCTCTCATATACCAGAGCACGTTTTTCCCTGTGAAGATGTGCAATAGCTAGGAGTCATCACTGGTTTTTAAGACACAGTTTCCACTGTTACTAATTCTGAATTTCAAAAATGTTTATGTCTCTGTATGTCGATTTTGTGTACTGTATAAAACATCTGCTTAAAAGGCATGAGGTTTTAACCAAAGGATTCTGTATAAGCCTTGCATTAACCAAACAGTGTAGTGTAGCAAAAAGGAGAATTGGTTTGTAGTTTAAACCCAGAGAGGGATCTTCTACTGACACCACTGCACTACTCTGTGGTCGTGGAAAATCACATGCTCTGTACTTCCCCATCTATAAGTTCCCCTAACTCAGAATTATGTTGAGTTTTAATTCATTAACTTTGGCTTTCTGAAAGTCTACAAAGCTCAACAGCTCAGCAAGAACACTGCACTAACGCCGCTTTGCCTGGTTTTGCTCTTTTGTAAAGACTTGAGAAGAAAATAATCCTTCCACAGGTCATTCACATTAAACTGGTGAACTGAAAAATGCCAATGAGACTATGACATATTCCTTTGAAGCACATGAAGTCATACACAATAATGTATACAGAATATAAAATCTACAATAAATGTGTAAATTTAGCACTATTCAGTGTATCAGAAGATTGAAATAAATCTTTCCATGTGTGCCCTCAGCTTCAATACTGAGCTGCCTATTCCAGTTTGATTTTGCATCCTCCCTGTCCTGTGCTGTTACCCAGCATTACAAAGAGACTTGTCTACTTCCTTAGCATGCATTTCAAATTAACATACACAGAATCCATTGCTTTCAATAAAAAAAATGCAAATTCTTTACAAAGGCAGCTATTTAGTTTTCAAGGTTTACAGCAAGTATCTTGATAAATTACAGCTGTGGACTGATGGACTCTGGAGTGTTCCATGTGAAGATTGCTAACCCCTTCCCAGAAATAATAGATTTGACAAATTAGATCAATATAGCTGTGAAAAGCTCTTCTTCCATTGCCCTCAGAATATTTCAATTACCTTGGAGACTGAGACAAACATAACCCATCGGTTCTTAACTATCTTAGCAAGGTAAGAATATTCAACATACAACAACAATAAGTATTAAAGCCTGAAACTCTTAATGGTATGTGAACATTGATGTTTAGGATTAATCCCAACATTATGGCCCACTTATCTTAGTATCACTTTACAAACTGGACCAAAACCAGGCACACTAGGGTTCTTTATCTCAACTGCAAGAAAACTGTTTCCCCCCCAGGTTATCCCTGATTACATGATGGACATGCACAATGTCAGGCTCAATAGAGCAAAGATTCAGGGAACTGCAGCAGGAACTATGGGACTATGGGACTGTGGCCAATCCCACAGAGTAAAGGTAAGGAAAACTAGGAAGTGCAGCTAATGCCTTAAATCCACAGAAGATGGAGATCAAGGCTATGGAATTCCAGTGTGGACTGTGTAAACACTTCCAGACAACTTTAACTATCTCAGGTGACATTCTTCTTTATCCTGAACCTTAGGTGCCAGAGGGCAGCAAGCACAGGTGCTGCTCCAAGAGGAAAGGCAAGCTGAAAGCCAAGGGTGATGACCAGGCAAGCAGAGGCAATGACCTTACTGAAATGTGCTGTGTTCCCACAGGGTCCAAGTGAGAAGAGCAAAGCAGGTCCAGCTGACAGTTACAATAGCCAGCCAAAAGTCCAGATTACCAGGCAGGTGTAAGATCAAGCCTAGAAGTCATGAGCAGGGAAGGAGATACACCAATTGGCACACACGTATCCACAAAGCTCATCAAAGATCAAGGGTGTTGATCTGAGCTTAAAAGCTTAAACCATACAAGTCAAGAGCCTGAAGGTTGCATGCACTGGTCCCAGTGGACCAGTGGGATACTATGAGGGACTTCTAGTTTCCATTGCCAGGTGTCTTCATGGCGTTAATCCAAAACTCTGTTTTTGGAAGTCCTGACTGCTGTGCTACTGGAGACAGATAAGCATTAAAAAAAATCAGTCTACAGACTATCATTCTAAAAATACTTTGTACAAATTGGTGGCCAGGCCCTTATTTCTGTCTGCACCATAGTCTTCCACATGTCATCAGGAAAAACACTTGACAAAGACTGCTTCATTCATTATTTGACTAGTTAGGTGATGGGGACACCTAAGAAAGGCCTATAAGCCCTTCTGCCTCCCTAACTTCTAGGCTACAATTTCTGAACTACAGAAAAATTCAGTTCCTTTCGGTTTAGCAGTGCAAAGAATGGGTGAATCAGTTTACTGTAAATTCTTTGTTACTCCCTGGTGGGAGACAAACATACCAACAAAACCATTTTATTAGTCTCAGATAAATTGCTACTAGAAGTGGATTACAACACTGGTGATGTTGGAACTTCTGTTACAGGAAGACAGCAAACCGGTTACAAGTTTAGGTGACCACAGAATGAGATTTAAGAATAGTCTGGATTAAGGGAATGGGAAAATAGCAGCTCTTCATCACAGAAAAGGTTGTAAGGAAATGCCATATTGATGACCTACCCTTGAATAGCTGCCAGGGCTTTACATACTGACGTTGGGCCTTGTGAGGTCACATCCTTGATGTCTTCCTTTTTTTATAATGGTGTCTGGGACAATACATTTACAAGGAAAGGAATATCCTCCTTTCCTACAGAGTTAGGAAGAAATATCCAGAGCTAGCAAATCTCTTTTGACTGTACAGCCTGCTAGAAGTCTAGTTATGCCATTTCTTTTCACTCTTTTTACTCTCCTCCCTTTCCAGGCAGCTCTAACCTGTTTCCCATATATATACCCGCCACAGCATATATTGTATTATTCTTAGCCAAAGTTTGGTAATTAAAAATGTTGTATTATGTACAATTAACCAATACTCATTTAAGTAGCTGTCACATCTGCACATATTTTAATAGATTAATTTAAAAGGAAATGAAAGAAAATGCTTTGGAAAAGTCCTCTTGAAAGTGATGCATGTTGTTAAGATATTCTGATAATCTTATATCACGTATATGGTTAATGCCAACTTGTCATCTGTTTGCACAAACAGGAAGCACCTCCTGATATCTGTCCTGTTCACCTTTCTTAACATAACAACCGCAGAGAAAGAAAAATGAAAAAGGAAATTGTTTTGTGTTTCATCTTTTAAAGTAACATTTTTATAGTTTGCTGCTCTGCATAGGAGCCATTATCTGGCACAGACATATATTTTATTTTTTTTATATATAAAGCTTCATTTTAAAAGATGACACTTACTTGCTTTCCAGACCTAAATTTTTCTACAAATTATTGACTCCAAAATACACGTTAATGATATAAACAAAGAAAAAGATAGCCATGAATGACATGATACTTGCTTCTCTGAACGCTGAGTAAGAAAGATCACTGGAAAAGGTGAAATTTCCAGCAGGCTTATTCAAATGTTTAGCCTGTCTCTTTCTGTGAGGATAAAACCCTTCTGTTGGTTTTTATTTTTGGTTTTGCTTTTGACTTTAATAACTTCCCTTTTTTGAAAGGGGGTAGAAATGTAACAGTATTAGTGTTCTGAGCATCATCCTTAATGATGGAAAGAATTTTTCACCAAGGAAAGCACTCGAGCAATTTCTAATGATACTTCAATTTCCGATGGAAACTTATCCTACAGACAAGTCTCGCTAGCCAAGAGGCTCTGCCTCCAACTATTAGTTGCTGCATCCTGAACTTTGATGCCTGCATTGTCCCATAGGAGCTCGTGTGTCACAAAAGTTCACATATCCACATGTGGTCTTTTCTGAAGCCTGATCAGTGTTTCCTTTGAAATCTAGGAGGCACACCTTCATCTGGCTTCTGAAGCTGCTCGAGAGACAATAGATGTATTTCAGCAAAGCACAATGCCTTCACAGTAACAGAAGCCAGAAATGTCAATGGGCAGGCACATCTGCTCCTTGGAGGCGAAGTGGGAATGGCTGTTCCTGCTACTGTGCTCAAGGGAGGCGCAGAGATATGTGAACACTTCCTCGCATACTCCTACATGCCCAAGCTCTTGCCTTGTCCACTCCTTGTCACACACAACAGGAAGGGGTGCCATCTGACGCAGACACATGAGTGGCTGGCAGTAAGTGAAGAGCTGCATAGGTGCTCTCAAAAACTGGAAACTGCAAGAGTCCGACTACTCTGCATTTAACCTGTTATAGTAAGCAGAAACACCTATTCTGTACCAAACTGTCCATCACAGTAACAGCCACTTTCGCATAATTCAGACAGAAAGTGCTGGATCACTATGCCAAAAAGAAAGGAAGATATTACATATCAAGCAGAAGTTCGAAGATGGCATTTCCGAGCACTGATGTTATTCATTGGTCCAACATTAGGGAAGTGTTGAGCAGGACTCTCAGACTTCATCTGCAATAATAAATGTGGATTTGAATCTTCTCTAGACAGCAGAGACAGGTCTTCAACTGCCTTTTCAAAGCACTTCCTTTTCCAAACTTCCCAGCTTCCCTTGCTTGTGTCAGCTGTTCTTTGCCCAAACTGGACTCTTGCTGGTGCTGTGACATCACACACATGGTCACAGCTACATCAGTTGAAAACATGCATCCATGGCATCTTATTTGCAGTGAGGCTTGTCACTTCTTCACACAGAAATCTCAGGTATATATTTGAAAAGCAGGTTCCCATTATTACAAATTAATCTTTATAACTGCCTTGTGAGAGGTAAAACTGTTGATCATACTCCCCAGCTGAGTTTTAAAGGAATGACATGATCTGAAGCTGTTCTTGTATCTAGCATTCAACACCTTCTGAGTGAGACAACTAAGGTGGGAAAGCATGGCAAATGCTGAAGACAGGTCCACTAGCATAAACACAGGAAATAACGTTAGCACTGTTTCAGGCATTTTACACGAAACAGAGACAGTTCTAATCCTTACTACATGGCTCTTGGATGCTGACTGGTGACAGTGGACTGTTATTAAGGCATGAGGTTTAGACAGACAATCACAGTATCACAGTATGTTAGAGATTGGAAGGGACCTCAAAAGATCATCTAGTCCAATCCCCCTGCCGGAGCAGGAACACCTAGATAAGGTTACACAGGAACGTGTCCAGGCGGGTTTTGAATGTCTCCAGAGAAGGAGACTCCA